CATATAATTCTTCAACAAGTTCAATAAGAATATTATCTGATGATGATATTATTGATGAACTATCAATTATTGTTTGTTCTTTATTAACATGTTCATTATTTAATGAATTTGTATTTTTATTTGGTCGTTGTAATAATGTATAAATACGTGTAAGTATTAACACCATATATCATTTTTAGGATATTGACCAACTATTAAAAGTTTTTCAAGACTAATTGATATAACTTTTTGTGTTAAATTATCATCTTTAATTAATGATAATCAAATATCATATGAATTTAAATCAACTTCATGAATAAACATGATGCATATGCATGAGTTTTAGTTATTAATTTATAATTACGTTCAATTAAATGTATATATAATTCATTATATTCTTTTGTTCTTTGTTCAAGTAATATACTAGAGTTACATAAATTATAACTTATTAAGGATATTATTAAATCATCTTCATCAAACCATGTACAAAAATATTCATCATATAAATTTGATAAATGTTATGATAATGGAAATAAATCAGATAGATATATAATTGAACCTATTAATTTATATTACATATATTTCAATTAGAATTTGTAATGATAATGTTAAATCAAAACCATGATGAAAAAATAAGTGATCAAATAAACTCTAAATTATATATTTTTAAAGATGGATGCCAGAAAAGAAAATGTTCATACTCTAATTTTTTGATTGATAGAATTTATTTGAAATTATTGATATAAGCTTTTATTTCTATGAAATAAGATAGTTTGCATGTATTATATATCAAATCAAAGTCAGAGAAACACTAGATTTTCTCTTTGATGAAATTAATAATTTAACAATGAATTTATCTTTCTTTTAACTTAGAGTTCTATTTGTCGATTATTAAAACATATGTGAGACTTAGATTAACTGATAATGGTAATGTATTATTACTTTGGATTGATGTTAATATAGTATCATATGAAAGTTGTCCATAGGATAATAAATCACGTATACCTAACCGTTCAATATTTGTAAATAAATTATTTGAACTTGTATCTAATATTGATAAAAAAAAACAGATAAAATCTAGTTTATTTTTCAATCTTGTTACCATTGTGTTGCATTTGTTTCTAAAGTTTCTTCTTTTTTTTTATAAATTATTTGTTGTTTGTTTATTTTCATCATTAGATTGATTTGTGATGAATTAATTGAAGCTAAAAATGAAGCCTATATTTCTTGAAATTGTATTCTTAATAATCAACCAACTTCAAAATTGTCTTTATATAAATATTGGTAAACAAAATAATAATATAGCTATACAATGTAAATCATGTCAATAAATATATGATATATACGTGTATATTTAATTTTTCTTTTTGTTAAATAACAAAGATGATCTTTTATCTGGTTCAATTAAATTTAAATATGATTATAATATATTTGATATAGTTAAACCATGTCGTTGATAAAGATATTGAAATATTCATAATAGTGTTTTCGATCATGTACAACATGATATTATTTGATCTGTTTCACAACTAAGAAATGATGTTTTCTTTTTTGAAATATATTTATATAAATTATTTCTGATAGAAATATTATAAAACGTAATAAATCATGTATATCACCTATTGAAAATTGACATGTTAATTCAACATGATTTCGTATTGTATCAAAATATATTGATAGAGAATCTATGAATGCAATTGAATATGGTTGATTATTAGAAGCATGATAAAAGACTTTTTTCATAAATTGTATTAGGTGTTGTTTCAATGTCATTTTAATTTGTTTCATTTGATATAACTATACAAAATTCTAGGAAAACAAACAAAGAACAGATTTATATTGTTTCGTATTTTCTCAAATCAATTTTCATTTACTATAAGAATCATCCTAAAAATTTAATGCTGTAGAAAAAAATCCAATTCGTTTTCGGAGTTCACGAGTTCAAACTTATAGAGAGTTTATCGAAATTCTCGAATGCAATTTATTTCGAAATATAATATTAGAAAGACGTCGTTTTCTTTAATTGTAATAGTACAAATAGCACGACTGAGAATTTGATTAATAAGATTCGAGAGGAATTATTCGGTCATTGTACTAATGTAGCTTAAATGCTTTCCTTTACGATTTGTATTACCTGAAATTCTGCATATTTTCTATTTCAAAATATTTTCGAAGTTTTGAATTATTCAAAAGTCTCATATATTACTAGCACATAAACAATGTCAAAGTAAAAAACAAAAATTTCTTTTAATTGGATTAAAATTTTTATTATACATATATATTTATTTATTTCGATAAATTAAACTAAAATATACCGGTGACATCGTAAATGGTAATCATTTTTTATAAGTTATATTTTTAAGCATTTGTTCATAAATTTTTCTTGTTATATTCGTATGACAATTAAGATTATTAAAATCTTCTTTAATAATATCGATTGATATTGTTATTGATAATATTTATAAAATTTATGGTATATATTTAGGTAATAATTGTTCATTTAATGGTAATGGGAAGAAATTGTTCAATTAATAAAACTAATATAAGACCACTTTCATATAAATGTATTCCTTCAGAAACGAATAAATGACTTGCAACTGATGTATGATGTATAACACCAGATAAATTATGTACATAACCTGCGTGTAAAAAGTCTTTGCACAAAATATTCGTTCACTTTTTGACCACTTGAAAACAACTAGTGAAGACCAAAAGTAGTTAGTTGGAATCAGAATTTTGTGCTCTATCAGAATATATACTTCGAATTTTTTTCTAACCTAAGGCTGGTTCACTGCAAGCAAATGTTTGAAGGGACCGAAATAATTATCCGTACAAAGCAAAATACGTTTTTTTTGCAATCCGCTACTTTTCCAGACTATACTTAAGCGCGGTTTTAATTAGGCGTTTTTGTAGAGCATTCAATTCTGTACAAAACTGGGTATTATAATAGAGTAGAACTAAAAACTATCAAAAGTTACAGATGTTTTCCTAGGTGCTACTTTCAACGTAAAACAGTTTTTGTCAAAAAATCGATTTTTGGAAATCCACCTGTTCGAATGTAGCCGATTTCGAGCCAATTTGACGATTTATAAAAAGATGAGTGGATATGGGTTTTGCAGAGAAAATTTTTCTCTACAAACTACCATATGAACAGACGTTTCATTTGTTCAATTAACTAAGCTTTAATCAAAATACAAAATTGGCAGAAATAGGATTCTGTACAAACTAAATTTTCGGCTAATTCAAGTATTTGCTCAGAGTGAATCAACCTTAGGTTAGAAAAAAATTCGAAGTATATATTCTGATAGAGCACAAAATTCTGATTCCAACTAACTACTTTTGGTCTTCACTAGTTGTTTTCAAGTGGTCAAAAAGTGAACGAACATTTTGTGCAAAGACTTTTTACACGCAGGTTATGTGCATGTATCACTTTGTTCAATAAAAAATAATAATAATAATTGATAATGTGTTGTTATTGGTGTAAAATGTTCAACATATAATTCATGATGATATATTAAATCACAATAAGATTGTAATTGACCACTGATAGATAAATGTTATTCTTGATGATGGTGTCAATATTGGTGATCACCATGCTTCTTGTGTATAATCAAGTATATTCAGAATATGTGTCCATTGTAATAATAATGGTATATAAAATGATGATCATAATAATTTAAAACATTCATTTAAAATAGTTAAATATGAAAATGTCTCAAGACACTGTAGAGTTTTATCATGAATTCATAATTGATGAAAATCATTTACAATTGTTCGAAATTGTTTAGCCAAAATAAAATTATAGATCGTATATAAGCATAGAAATTTTAAAGTCAAATGTTTTTCGCTAGCTCATTAGTAATTAATGAATTGCAGGAAAGTTTTATCTTCAAATTAATGGGTGATATGTACATAAAGATAATCGGATGCAAGAGAAACTAATGTCATATTGATTTGACCACGTAATTGTCGAGTATTAGTTAAAATTCATAATATTATGTCATGTAAAACACGAAGAAGAGTTCTAGAAACAAAAACGAGAATAATAGTTTTTAAATTATAAATAAAATCATTTCGAATACTAACCCACTAAAAGTTTCATCTCGTGTTTCATTAACTGATGATAAAACATCATTCTATCGTGTTAATATAGCATCTTCAGTTAAATTTTGTACAAGATATCGAAGTATTATATTTATATTGATTAACTATCGATTTGTAGATTGACAATTGACATTCTAAAAAAAGTTTTGAACTATAGGAAAATTTTATAAATAAAAACAACGGACATTTCTATTTACTAACGCTCGAAAAGCAACATCAAATAGTGTTAATTGTGTGGAATAAATATCCAAAAGTGATTGATTCTATTTGAACAAAAAAAAAAGTAACGTAAAATCAGAGACTATTAAAACAAAAAAATAACCTGAGATTGTAAATGAGCAAGAAGTAAATCGACAATTTGTCGTGAAAGACGTTTCCATTTATCATCTTCAATTTTAACACTATTAACAATGACTATGAACAATCGTAAAGCCTATAACAATATAAATTCTATTATTATTTTTTCAGTACATACACATGATATGCAAAGATACTTTTATTTATAATAATTAAGACGCCTAGTTTTCCTTCAAACTCAAATACATAACAACAAGATGATTATTTTCAGATCATCAATTCGTTGAAGTGTGGGTGTGCGTTCAATCGAGGAGAAAAATTATATCTACACACTCACACTCACACCCTCTCGAGTTTCTAAGATATTTGAGACTTTATAGAAGGACACTTTTTGTTCACTCTCATTTAATAAAACTTTTTAGGAATTTTAATTATTTGCATAACTCGAACAAGAAAAAAAATCATATAAAACTGGTTCTAATGCTGCCAAAGCTAAATAAAGAATTTTAACGATCATTTGTTTTTCTCGAAAATGTTTTTTTTTACTTCCTACCATGTGTTTCAGGTTCATGTCCACTTGTTAATAATTAATCATAATGTTTTATTAAATCTTGTATTTTAATAACTCGTTTTGAATGAAGTGTATCGTGTCATAACATAACAAGAAATTCAGCAATACAATAAATAAAATGCTATTTAGAAATAAACGAAACGATTAGAAATGCAACGAATTTCATCAGCTTCTAATTAACTATTATTAACACGAATTAAAAGTAATTGAACAAGTAAATTGAGTACAGCAGCTTGAAAATCACTTTCATTTGTATTAATATATTTTTTAAGACTAATTTTTTAGTTCAATAAAAACTAAAATAGAAAACAAAAAAAAACAGAATAAATCAAATTCGTTTTTTTTTGTTTATTTTACTGTCGTATTGCACTATTTATACTTGATGCATAACATGAACCAAATAAAATAAATTATCGATTATCGAATACTTATTGTATGAATATAAGTTAAAGAATTATTTAATGATACTTGTGAAGAAACATTTGAAGATTTAATAAAAACTAAATTAAAAGAATATTTTTAAATGAATGTTGTGTTAACAGAAAAAAATGATTTTCAAATTTCGAATTGATAGCGTGTCTTGCAGATCACTGACGTAAACTAGATGATTTAATATTCGAATTTCAAGATAGAACCGAATCAAAAGATCTGACACTATCACAACAAAACTACTCTCGTTACGATCATCGATATTTGTGAAATCAATTTTTCTGTTACTATAACATTCTTATATTGAAATTTTTCTTCTGAAGGAAAGATCCTTTCATAAACCTTAATTAAAACATTTCCATCTAAAGTTTTATCTGTAGACAAATTTCAGACCCATTACAACATCCTAAAGGTTTTAGCTTAACCAATAAACAAAGAAGATTAATAATTAAAATTTTCTTTACAATAAATATTTACTATTAAAAAGAAGTTACCTCTTGTGTACATTGAATGTTGATTTAAAATAATTAAGTGTTTCTCTTCTAAATTTTTTTGATAAATCTTGTGTAGAAATAAGACTTAAAACTGATTTCATAGACAATAATAATCATTTCTGATGAGTTTAATAAACTTTTATGCGTTTGATATGATGAACATATTAATTCGAATAATTTCCAAAAGTACCTAATTGTGTATGATTAATTTTTTTAACTTTGTCTGTGTTTGATGTTGTTGATGAATCTTTTTCATTCTATTTAAAAAGAAAAAAACAAATGAATTCATTCAGACGAAACATGATCAAATATATTCTTCAAATCTAACACTTTGGAACTCTCTTCTTCTGTGAAAACTGAAATATCAACTATATTCTGTTCAAAAGAATGATGATTGTGCATATTTTTGCAATAATTCGAGAATGGTAATAGAATAGTTTATTTGTTGAGATTTGATAAATCTTCAAATAAAAAGAAAGAATTCAAAAAAAAACATAATAAATATCTTTTTTTTCTCTTTACTTGAAAAGATTAAATTATTAAGATCATGTAATATACAGAAATGTTTAAAAAAAAATTATAAATAAACGAAGTTCATCATATTGATTATGAAAAAATTGGTCGAATTGTTGTTGGTCTTAAAACATTTGAAAGAACATAAATATCTTCCAAACATCCAACCTATATAAAAGACAAAAATGACAAACAATTTGTATTCGAGTTGATGCTTGAGCTTGTAATGAATGATGAATTTTATATATCCATTGACAAGGTAAAAATGAATTGTGATCAACAAACCTTAAAATCGAAAAAGTAGCTAATAACTAACTTAATGTAATAAAATCGACTTATCCAAATTCGAAAAAAGCTACGTAGTTATTATCTCTACAAAATACATACTTAGCAAAAGTCGAAGCAATTGCTTGACGAACACGTATATCAGGGTACTGTTGTTTTAATTGTTGTTCAAGATAAGTTAATATTCGAAAATCAATATCATCCATAAGTTGAGCTAGAACAAACTATTTTATATACATACAAAAAAAAAAATTATTATAATCATAAATTTCTTTTATCTACTTCAGCAAGAATACAGGAACTTGTAGTATGTTGAATAGAATCTTCTAATAATTTAATTCCTATGATTGTAAATGCATGACTATTAATTAATAACAAGAAGGTAATAATATTCGTAAAGCATTTAGTGAAACATGTATAACACGTGCATTATTATCATTAAGACATAAAACCTTGAACTGTCTTGTGAATCAGTTGATATAAGTGAACATTAATTAGTAAAAGAATTATTAAATAAATTTGATAATGATGATAGTGTTAAAAGATGATTTGTTGTTTGAATTAATGTAACAAGTAAATTTGCACATGCACCACGTAAATGTAGATCACCGTGTTCACATAAAGATAAAAGATATGTAATATCTTAAAGAAAAGAACAAAAGAGATACCTTGATGTTCGATAAATTTTAATGTATTACAAGTCATATAGAGATGAGAATTTCATTTTTCTTATTAGAAAGTTCTATTTCAATTACAAAATTATATCTCATCAGAAATCTTCAAAGACTAAAGAAAAACTCCTTAGAGGATACAATTGATTTCATATCTCGAACTTCGGCTTAGAACTTTTTTGAGGTAGTTATATGATTGTATAATTTCAATCTCTGATATATCAATGCAGGCTTTGAGCTTCAATAAAGTGTTCTACTTGGTATCTTCTCGAGTCTGATAATGTTCTAGTCTTTTGTTGGTTTCAAAAAAATTAAAAGTAGGAATAGGACTAGAGCTGCTGAATCAATATTGAGAAATCTCCCTTCTTGAATTTTCAGATTCCAATATATATATATGTTTCAACAATTTAATAGTGAAATTGTCATATCTATCAGATAACTTTCACTAAAACTTTGAGTCTTTAACCAATTGAAGCCACGTCAACTAAACTCTGCCACCATCCCCTTCACCTAGGCCCTCCTACTGTTACGATATTAGAAATAATTTTGCATTATAAAAAAAATCTATTTCACTGAACTGAAACTTTACAAAAAGAAGCCTCAAACAAGCATAAAACATACTTTCAATAAGGTAATCAAATCGACCAAATTGTTGATAAATACGATAGACATATTAGTATAGCACATTTAACACTAATACATGATTCATCATCACTTTTTATTGTACCATCCATATTGAATATATATCTAATCGGAAAAAAAATATAATTGATGAACAAGTTTAGCAGCTGATGTTCGTTTTTCATTATTAATCATTGAGGTTGAATCGAATTTATCATTCATTTCAATAAATCAACGTTGATATGTTGAATAAGCTATTGTTTTAGAAAAAAAAAACAAATGAAAAAAAAAATTCTTGTTTTTTTTCTCAATATTTACCTGTTTTTAAGGCTTCACTAACACAAGATTTTTCTATAGATCCAATTTGAATTGAAATTAATAATTGATCAAAATCAAATAAATTTGAATAACGAAGTAATTGAATAATTTTTTTATTAAATCAAGATAATCAATTATTAAATGTGTACTAGCATTTTGATTTTGATACTCAAGTAATTGATCTATTAAAATAAAAGACAATTATAATGGATTGAAATCATTATTTTGAAAGAAAACTTACTACTTACATTTGTCATTAGAAAACGTGCCATAACCATGGGATAACATATTTGCTGAATAGGGCATGAGAAGTTTCTAAGAATAATTTAGTAGTTTATTAAATATTTCAAAAGAAAATTATTGATTATTGATATTAGAAAAAAAACAGAAGAATTCGTTTTCACTCGATTTCATACTTCAACTATAACGATAGCCAGTGAACTACTATGACTAAACCATTCTTAAGTTGCATGCAATTCTACGCTCGATTACTTTCGAGGACGGATCGCTTCAAATGATAGACAGTTTCTCAGTTCGTATTTCGTCAAATAGTATCAGACTGCCTATTCTACATTTTCTGAAAAACATCCTCTCCTGCTAGAAGTTTTAACCGAAACATGGTAGAGCAATTCTTTTCTGTTTCTATTCAACCGTATGGCATTTTTCCGATTACTTCTTTAAAAGACTTGTCTTAGATGACAGATTTTTCTTTTACTTACTTTAATTTCTTTCTCATTAATTGATCAATCAAGAATACGAAAAATAAGTTCATAATGTCTTGATAAAATAGTTGAATCTTTTTCGTATGTATTACATTTGCTGATTCGAGAAATCGTCATAGATCACCTAATAGAGATAAAAAAAAAACAAACCATATTATAAATTTAAGCCATATGATAAAAATAACCTTTTAAAGCTTTTGATCCAACATTAGGATAATGTTTTATAATTCGATGTAATTCAACTTGAATTCTTGTTAAAACTGCTTCTTTTAAATTCTATTTTATAATTCATACAAAATTATACAAAACAAAGAATTTCTTTGATAATACTTTAACAAATTTATTAAGATTTTCTTCAGCAGTCAATCGTACATTATAATCATTTTCGTCACATGTTGTAAAAAATGTTTCCACACTAGCTTTAACTAATTTAATATAATTTTCATTGTTACCTCTAAATGAGAAGAACATTTGAGGAGAGATGAAAACCAGAAAAATCAAATTTTACTTGATTATTAATGTTTCTGATTTTGTTGTTGAAAGTAACCTTAAAACTTCAAGTGATTTACTTAGTTTATCCATTTTGTTTAATTTATATTCAATTCATTTATTTTAAAACCAAATAGATAAATGACTAAGTTTAAACATTATTTGATAATCATAATGAATGAATGAATAGTCGACTGAAAAAGACTAACATCGATTGAATATTCGTAAACACCATTGACATTTCTGTTGTTTTTATTAATGGATGGCGTTAGATTACATCTTTATAAAATAAGACTGTATAAAGTGAAAACCTCATCATCAACCGAAATTCTTATAAATCTGAAGTCTCTAACAATAGATATAAAAAATTTAATACTCTAGTCAAAATTCAATAGAAATCCAAATCCTTTTAAGGTTTTAATTAGAAAATTATTTATTATTTCGAATATATTTTTGGCAGATATTAAAACTGTTTACATTCATATTTTTTTATGTAATGTTCCTTATAATGGCTGTATGAGACTTCATCCACTGTTCATCATCAATTTTGTTGACATATATTTTAATATTGGAAGCTTTTGTCTGTCTTGGATATATACAAAAATGTTTTACAATACTATTCACATGGGTTTCTGCAACATCTGATTCTTGATGAGAGACTATTCGTGTGTTTTTATTTCAACTCATTATAGTGCACCAAAACTTCTTTCACATTCATTATGATGAAGTTGTTAAAATTTCATCTAATTCTAAAATATAGTCTTTGCTACACGTTCAATAGGGATATGTTTCGATCTTGTAAATACTAGAAGTATGTCTAAAGACG